ACACACACACACACACACAGTCACACACACAAACACACACACACACACACACACACACACACACACATTACCAAGAGCTATTCCTCCATGCGGAGGACACCCGGAGTCCAGAGCCTCCAGCAAATGTTCCAGCTCTGAGCAGTTCTCCTGCACCCAATTGGGAGTGAGGGAGAGAAAAAAAAAGATTAATAATGGCGTTTGTCGGACCACATGTAACCCAAGAGCCGTGAGTTTAACACCTGTGGGGTACTCTTTTAAACTCATGCATGTCGAAAAAGGCTCCGGAAGATATATATATAGCATAACAAAGTGTACGAGTTTAACGCCCTTGGCAAAACTATTCTGTTATCTAAGAGGCAGGACCTCCGAATTTAGCATTTCTCATTTATAAGTTCGAAAAATGAGGATTGAGAACAATCTTAAAACTCTACAAAACGACCCAAGTTCAAGAAATCCCGATCAGGGGTTCGAACCAGAGCTGTCCGCTTCATAGTCCAGCATGATACCAACGGAGTCACCAAAGCGCCTATAGTACAGTACATTCTCCACAACCAACAACACAGGCTACATGTAACTAGAAATGAAGAATTCTTGACTTTGCAATAATAATAATAATAATAATAATAATAATAATAATAATAAAAATAATAATAGATACCATTGTATAGCGCAAATCCACACTCAACAGCAAGATATAATATACGCTTCACAATCTATACTATATCCCCAGCAGACCTGAGAGCATTCTGAAACAACCTCAACTTCCTGGGAAGCATATAGGGCAAGCATCGCTAAAACACTTAACATACTGACAAGATCTTTCACTGTCTATGGCCGGGCACCCATTCTCACTTGTGCAAAGTGAGGAAAATTCGTGTAAAGTGCCTTTCCTAATGGACACAACGTCAGGCCCAAGGCTCGAACCTCCGAACCCGCAACCTCACGATCACGAGTCCAGTAGCCAAAACACTAGGCCACCGACGCCATCAAAAAAATAAAAATTGTAAAAAAAATGTATCACATAATAAGGTGAGTTCTACACATTGCATCAAGATTTAATGAAAAGGACTCGACTTCGCTGGGCTGGCCATGTTTTAAGAATGTCTGATTTCAGATCCCCAAAGTGTTCTAATCTGAACCGTCTTCAGAGTTGTGTAAAGTTGGAGCACCAAAAAAGCGCTACACAGATTCTCTACTGATATATCTCCGGCATGACTTTCCTCTTTCTTTCCTATCAAACATCTATCGTCCCCATCTTTCCTCCTTTTATTTTTCTTCATAAGTTTATTACTTTCTCCAGTAACAGCTCTTTCTTCGGCACTTATATTAAGACCTATTTGTGTTACAAGTGTTGTAAAACCCTTTTAAAAAATTGAAAACATTAAAAAAAAAAACACCGTACATACCTGGAGCACGGTCTGTAGGATGTACCTCTGCAGGTGTGAGTCATGAACTCGTATAGACCCGCCACCTATTTCACTGCCGTTGAGCACCAGATCGTAATGCTGGCTCCTCACCTGACAGACACACACACACACACATAATATCATTATTGCATTGATTTAAAGCCCCTTTCCACAGTATTAAGGCATTGTGCATTGACTTTGGTGTCCTGACAGACCATCTTAAAGCAGTATGCATGATTCAGCTTTGCCTGGGAGGTAGACATAGGGGACGTAGATTGCCCAAGTATGACTTCCATCCCTTCAGGTCTTGACTGCCTTGATATGCTCCGAAGAAGAGACATGGCCCATACGTTTGTATTTTAGAATGAAAAAAGGTGCCAAACATTAAACAGGAAAATAATAATATTGTGGTATGTCCGATAGGGCAGAGCGACAATATAGGCGGATATGAGTATTTATATTTACATGTAATATATATATATATATATGTGTGTGTGTGAGTGCGTGTGTGTGTGTGTGTGTGTGTGTGTGTGTGTGTGTGTGTGTGTGTGTGTGTGTGTGTGTGTGTGTGTGTGTGTGTGTATGCCTGGGAGTAAGTTCCCTGTGTGTGGGAAAAGCTATTTATAGAGCAACGTGGTGAAAAGGCCAAAAAAAAGTCATACGTGGTCAAAAATTTTAGTTCCAGCAGAAAAGATACGATAAACCATCTCTTATAAAAAATAATAGTGAGAGGATTTACAAATATTTAATTCTAAATAATTTCTATTAATTATTTTTGCAACACGCTGTACTTCATCAAAGGTTAAAAATGTACAAGCCAAATTGGATTTTTCTCCAACTTTGCTTTAACGCCTTGTGTTAAAAAATGTGGCATATATTTAAAACTACTCAAGATATTCGAAAAATAATTTTTAAAATTCAGCATGCTCAGCATTTGATTTGATGCAAGAATGTGCCCTTAATTCAATATAAAAAATTTTCAAAAACTGGGACCTTCCTTCTTTGTCCAGGCACACACATGTGTGAGGCAGCATGGTGAAATCAGGCACTCTTTAAAATAACTAAAGTGAAGAATCTGGCATTTTTACGCAGGT